CGCCATGATGGACATCGCTGGTAACATGGTCTCGCTCCCCATCAGGCTGGCCTTCATGATGGCGACGTTCGCGCCCGTGTCCTGGCGGCCGCCATCGAGCGTTTCCGTGGCGCGGCCAGTCGTCGATGGCGACGAGGCGGGAGAGGCGTCGGCGGCGTTCCAGATCGCGAGCCAGCCCGCGGGGGGCGCCGGCTGTTCCGAAGACGAGAATGAGCGGCGCCCGCTGCGGAAGAGGTTCCGCGTCGCGCGCGGCCCAGCGTAGATTAGGAGCAGCGCGCCGGCGCCGGGGGGCAGCCAGCGGCGGCGGTTCAGAGAGAGAGAGAGAGGGGGAAAACAAAGAAAAGAGAGAGAGAGAGAGAGAGGGAGAGAGAGAGAGAGAGAGAGAGAGAGAGAGGGACATAAAAAACGCCACCGTCGTCGACGGTCGCGCGCGCCGCCGGCCCCAGCTGGGGGTGGCAGGCGCGGTGTCCGAGCCCAGGGGTTTCGCGTTCACCGCTGATAACCATCGGTTATATGTCACAGCAGTCGCCATGGGCTTTCGGGTTTCAGCATAGCGCTTCGCGTATTCCCGCCAGCCCACCTGGGAACGTTACCCACGAGAGGCGCTCGCAACGGGGCAGCGCGGCATCATGCGTCAGGGAGAGCTGGAGGAGCCTCCGCGGGACAGAGGTCTCCTGCATGCCTGGGGGGATGTCGCGGGGTGCCCCTCGGGGCCCGCTTGGAGGCCTTGCTGGCCCTTGCAGGGGCGTCGAGATGCCACTTGAAGTTTCGTGGGATGTTCCCCGGGGGCTTCTTTGCAGGTTTATCGGGGCGTCTTGATGATTTCCTGGTGGCCTCCTGGGGCACCGTGGGCCTCGGGCGCGTCCTGGGGGCATCGCGGGGTTTCGTCCGGGGGCGCTGGGGAGGCTTCTTGGGGGTCGCTCGGCGGTTTATTGGGCCTGTTGGGCGCCGCCTGGGGCTGTCCAGGCGCCGTCTCGGGAGCTTTTCGGGCCGTCCTGGGGCTATCTTGTTGGCCGTCGATCAGAGGGCGGGGGTGGCTCAATTAGAATCGCCCCTCCGTTTGGAGGCCGCAACGGGGCCATCTATTAATGCGGTTCTCTCGGGGCCTCCTTGGGCGCTCTGCGCGCTTATGATCCCCCCCCGTCGCCCGCGCTGCGGGGAAAGAGGGCAGGGGGGGGCGCGAAAAAGAAAGCGCGCTACACTTTTTCGGCCCAGAGGGCCGGTGGGATGATGGCAATGGTTTGGGCCGTAGCCCGCTCTTTGCACCCCCCCGCCGCTGCCTGGCCCCGCCCCCCCCCCCCCCCCTCCCGCCCAGCCAGGGTCTCGGCGGCCCCGGCGGCTGGCCGCGACACCCTCGCGAGTTGCCCGAAGGTCCCACAAAGGATTCCGATTGCCCCTGGAATAAATCGGGCGGCCGCTTTCGACGAGGGGGGCGGCTGAACAGGCCGCAGTGGCAACGGCAACTGCAACTACTTGGCACCAGTACGCATCGCACGGGAAGGACATTCTGCAATCGGCAGCAAACACGCAGCAGCAGGCAGGCAATGGTGCGCGGCAGGCACCAGCGGCACTCTAATTACAGCAACACCAGCGGCAGGCAGCGGCGACAGGCCGGCGGGCGGGAGGGAGGCCAACAGGCCAACGGTGAGGAGGGGTCGAGGGGCGGCGGGCAGCGGCGTTGATTGTTTGGGGAGGAGGGCGAGTCGACGGCAAGGCCGCCCCCGGGCCAATTGAGACGCCCGTTCCGGCACAGCCAGGGCGCTCAGCGCGCCCGAGCCCGCAATTTCTGCGCAAGCAGCGGATTGCAACAAGTCCCTTCGTAATTTCTTGCGAAGGATGCGAGCGTAAAAAACAAGTTTTAAGAAAGAACTTGCAAGTACATAAGAACTTTGGAGTTCCGAAATGTAGTTTGCTCGCGCCCTTTTCTGCTTCGATCTTGAGGTTTGTAGAGTGCGCTTTTGAATCCACCCAACTCCTCCTCCTCCTTCCTCCCCCTTTCCTTCCTCCCCCTTTTCCTCCGACTCTTCGTCCTATTCTTCTGATTCCGATTTCAAATCATAGTCGTGTTTCTCCTATGTTTCTTCCTCCTCCTTTTCCTCCTCCTCCTCCTCCTCCTTCTGTTCCTCCTCCTCCTCCTTTCCTCCTCCTCCTAATGTTTTCCTTTCTTTCCTTCTCCCCCCGTTCCCATCGTTCCCTTCCCCCTCCTCCTCCTCCTCCTTTCCTCTTTCTCCTCCTTTTCATCCTTTTCTCTCCTTCCTCCCTCCTCCTCCTCTCCTCCTCCTCTCTCTTCCTCCTGTTCCTTCTCCTCCTCCTGCGCCTCCTCCTCCTCGTCCTTTTCCTCCTCCTCTTCCTCCGTCCTCCTCCTCCTCCTCCTCCTCCTCCTCCTCCTCTTCCTCCCCTCCTCCTCCTCCTCCTCCTCCTCCTCCTCCTCTTCTTCCCATGCCCCTTTTCCCCTCTTTCCCCTCGACCTCCTCCTCCTCCTCGTCCTCCCCCCCCTTTGGAGGGAGGCCCCTCGCCCAGGGCCTTCGTCCGACCCTGCGGCCCCCAACCTTTTTTTCTGCCGCGGCGGGCGTCCCCCCCCTACGTGCGCCGACTTCCCTCGGCGCCCCGCTTTCTTCGCCGCGGGCCCGGCACGGGGGGGGGGTCGTTCCGCGAGAGGGGGGGGGGCATGCCCCCAGTTCACCCCCACGTCGCCTCGATATGAATGTGCTCTCTTCGTGGGCGAGTGGGATCGATATACGCATACACATGCGCTTGTGTGTACCAGCGAGTGGAGTGTTCGCCACCCCCGCGCCGCCGCAAGAACTCGACCCGTCTGCGGCGGCGTCCCCCGCGGAGGTCGTCCACACGCTTGATTACGAGCATAAGCATAGGCATATGCATGCGCATCGACATATACAGCTGCGGATAACATACGTCTACATATACACATGCATAATCGTATACCATTACACATACAATTGCACATACACCTACGTGTACATAAACATATTCACACACGTACAAGCCTACAAACACACACGCACATATGCATATATATATATATATATATACACACGTACATAAACACACATACCTACATACACACATTCACATACAAAAAACATGATCATGCCTATCCGTACACATATACATAGGCATATATACATAACCTTGTTTAGACGTATATCTACACACAAACACACACACACACACACATCTATATATATATATACATGTAAATATATATTGTATATACACAAGTGCACATACATACAACTATCGCACCATCAGGCGGGCGGAGTTTGCCGTGCGCCGCGCTCGGGGTTGGGTGCGGCTGTTTGTAGAGGGCTGGTGATGCCCTGAGTTTTGGATCCAGCTTCATCTCTCGAGCGCGAGCAGCAACCGAGGACAAGCACGATGCCAGAGACCAGCGACGTGCAAGCATTCCAGCGCGTGCGGAATTCATCATCTTTGGAGCTGGCTGGCAGTTTTCGCAAGGCGGTGTGCTACGGGGAGCGGTCACTGCGCACAGCCACCAGATCCAAATCCAAACTTTTGCCGACACGGAGACCTCGAACACCGATGCCGCATGATACCAGTCATGGCGAGTGAACAACGGCATGCGCGTGCACGGCACGGCGCGCGGGCATTGGCACGGGGGCGCGGCACGGCACGGCACGCGGGCGCAGCACGGCATTGGCACGCGGGCGCGGACGGCACGGCACGGCACGCGGGCGCACGGTACGGCACGCGGGCGAGGCAGGGCACGGCACGCGGGCAGCATCATGCTTGCGCTCTAGAAATCGAGCACGACACGGCACGGTACGCGGGCACGGCACGGCACGCGGGCAGGGAGTTGTTTTTGTTGAGACTCTCGGAACCGAGCGCGCGGTGGCACGCGGGCGGCACGCGGGCGGCACGGCACACCACGGCGCGCGGGTTCGGCACGGCACGGCACGCGAACACGGCACGGCATGGCACGTCACGGCCCAGCAGCGAGGGCGGTATTTTCTCACATCCGGAATCCAGAAACCAGTGTTTACCATGCAGTTGGGGGCTTTGTCGCATTCTTTGTTGAGGGAATGTGCCACTTGTTCGGTTCTGGATTGGTTGCCTCCATGGTTTTGCCAGAACGAGCCGACCAGGTAAGGCCGCGTCATAGGATCCATGTATCCCGCTGCGCCTCCCAACATCGTCGCTGTTCCGCTACGCGCAACCTTGATACGCCTGCATGTGCATCCATCTTACCACCATGCGCGGCTGACGTTCTTTGCTGTTGCGCGGGCACCAGGAAATTCTGCGGAGTAGATCAAACAGTTTGAGCCTCTGGTCCCCGACGTGGCCCGCATCTGATTTCACAGCTGGTCGCCGAGATGCGACCCGTGCAAATTCAAATTGCGATCGCACACCTGTCGGTCGCACTCAGATCGACGTTGTTGTCTCTAGCGCAGTGCAGGAACACCTGGGTTGGGAGCAAGGCGAGGCGAACATGCCAGGCTGCAGCATTCTGGTGCGCGCGCCTGCGCGAGGACGTGCACCCTGCGCGCGCTCAAGCGACGATCCCTTCCTCGCCGTCGGTCGACGGAGAGCCCGGGGGCGGAAGTGAGAGGGGGCAGGCCTCCTCGGAAAGCGGCGGGGCCTCGCAGCAGCCCTCGGGCCTTCTGAGAGACCGCCTCAGTCTCGGGAGACTTGGCATCGCTCGGACGTGTGCATTTTTTCGGCGAGGACCATCGAGGAGCATCTTTGATCATTCAGCGAAACATACACGCACGAAATCGAAAACCGCACGGGGAATGGACGTCCGAGCGATGGCGAGGAGAAGGCTTTCAACATTCCTCAGGAGGCCAGAGGCCCTTCGAGCCTCCCGAGAAGGCCACGCCCGCTCGGGCCTCGCCCCCGGGCTCGCCGCCGAATCGAAGGGGGCAGCGCCCTGCTGTACCTCCCCCGAGTTTGCGGCGGTGCTTCCCGCGGACTGACGCGGCCGCCCTTGGGGGGGGGCGCGGCTGGCCGCGGCGCCCATGACGCCCCCGGCGGCGCGCACGGCGCTGGGCTCCCTGCTGGGCGCCCTGCTGTTGGTGCCCACCGTCGTGTTCGTGCTGCTCATCCCCAGCCTGGGGTGGGCGCAGGTCGGGAGGGGAAGAGCAGGCACACACACAGACACGATGCATGGCCGATCCCTGGGAAAATATGGGGAAGAGAGGGGAAGCGGGGGGGAATACGAAGCCCCAGAAAAGACCAGTGAATGTTGGGAAGGGTGCGGTCACGCCGGGGTGTGGTTTGCGATCCGGGTCGCTGTCTCTCGGTCGGCACCACTCGACTACACGTACGAGTGACCCCTCGCCGGAGTGATCTTTGGTGCGGGCCCGCTCGGGTCCCCCAATCGCCGAACGCGATGTGATAGTAGCGTCTTGCGCGCTTGTGTTTGGTCCCAGTTTGGTCCCTCTGCGGCCCCCAAGAAGCCGCGCACCAAAGGTCACTCTACACTGCTCAGGGTCACTCTTGCGTGTAGCCGAACCACGTTGCCCTCGCGGGGCCGCGTCAGGGCGCGGCGGAGAACTCCGTCGATGTCTTCTTCGCCCGCCCCTCGGGGGTTGCGCGTTGCAGACCACACCCTCTGCAAGCCACACCCTTCGGAGTCGCCGAACGATAGGGGCAGACTGGCTCTGGGGGGGGATGCATCGACCCGCCACCGCCCATGCATCGCCGATAGGAGCCGCAGAGCCCCCCCCCCCCAGATCCGTGCGAATTTGCTATCGGGACCTATCTCCGATCTGTCGGCGATGCATCGCCGATTCCAGGTCGATGTCCCCCCCCCCCCAAGTTGGTCTCCCCTGAACGTTGCCCCTGAGGGCGGGGGCGGTCTTGTTTTCCTTCGGCCCTGGGGCTTCACGAGGGAAGGGGGGACACGGCGGAGGAGGGAGGAGGGTCAGAGGAGGACCACTTGAGACAGCGGCAGGTTCTGAGAGGCCCCCTCGGCCGCCACGGTTGGGCGCAGCTCGGGAAACGGGTGCGTTTGGACCCTGGGAGGGCGCTGCGGACCGATTTTGAGCGTCCGTTGTCTCAACTACCCCACCTCCGAGAGGGAGAAGGGCTGGTCCCCTGCCCCACCCTCCCCACTGGAATGACCGCGGGGGTTGCTACGAGGGTAGGAGGGTGATTCGTAAGGGGGAGCCAAAGTGGTTCTGCCTGGCCCATCCTGGCTCATAAGTGGGCTATAGGTGCAACCTGGCTTTTAAGTGGGCCACAAATTCCACAGGTGGCTGAGGGAGGATAGATAACACCGCTAAGTGTGCGAAGCCCACTTAGGTCCGATCGTTACCTTCATAGCCATGTGGGGCGAACCTACTCATAAGCCAGTCTGGGCCAGATACCAGCACTTGAGTCCGCTTATAATCCCCGTGTCCCTTTAGCAACCCCCGCGGTCATCCCAGTAGGCAATTCCGTTCCTCCCCGGAGCCGCGCCCGACAGCGCAGCGAAATCGACAGCCCCCCTGAGGGTACAGGTCTTCCTCTTCGCCTGTCTCCCTTCCCAGACATCCGATGCCGTTTCTTCAATATGTTTTCAAACATGGCTCACCGAAGGTCGGGACCCCTTCCCCGGGACCGGCTTTTTGTCCCGAGGCGTTTCTGACTGTCCAGGGGTCTGGCGACGGCCCCCAGAATCCGAGCATATGGTTTCGTGATTTTAACATGACGCCTCCCTCCCCCCACCCATCGGCGACTACGAAGGTGGTGGTCATGTCGGGGTGTGGTTTGCGACCTGCGTCGTTGGGGCTTCGGGGGACCCGCGTTGCCCTCGTCGGGCCTCGTCATGGCCCGGCGGAGAACTCAGTCGAGATCTTCGCCCGCCCCCCAGGGTGCGCGTCGCAGACCATATCTTTTGCAAACCACACCCTTCGGAGTCGCCGAATCGACCCGAGCTGCCCAGCCTGTCCGCCGGCGCCCCCTATGGGCTGCTCTGTCTGTCCGCGGCGTGGGCTACCAGTGCTCGGGGCCCGTGGCAGCCCAGAGCTCACGCAAGCTCCCCGACGTTCCTTGCGGAGTGGACCTCATAGCCCCTTGCCCCACTGAGATGACCACGGGGGTGCTAAGGGGATAAGGTGGGGAAATGTTGGAAAGCGTGCGCGACGCGCTATCCGTTTCCCTGTCCTCAGGCTTCAACGTCCCGAGCCTTTCCGAGCCTCCCGCCCCGCAGAGTGGAGTGACACGCTATCCGCATGCAAGGCACAGCGTGTCGCCAGGGTCGCCGCCGCGACAGGTTCAGCAAAAGTTCCCGACAGTAGGGGGGGCTTCAAGTGGAAGCCAAGGGTGGGTTATATCTGGCGAAACCTGGGTCATAAGTGGGCTAATAATACCCCAAGTGGCGTAAGTGGGGTTCGACAACTCCGCTGAGTGGGCGGAGCCCAACTCGCCCAGATCGGAACCCCCTTGAGCCGTCCTGGGGCATGTGTAATTGACGAACTAAAGCCACCTCAGCTTCTTCTTGCAACCCCTCGTATCCCCTCAGCACCCCCCGCGGTCCTCCCAGCAGGGCAGTCTTTGCGAGGCCCAGACCGCCCAGACATCCTCGCGTCTTGAGGGAATCCCGGCGGAAGGTTTCTGGCCGTTTTCCACCTCCAGAGGCCCTCGCCAGGCCCCGAGACCAGCAAGGAACAACCCGAGATGAAAAGCCAGTCTCGGGGCAGGGATCCAGACGTCTGGGGAGCCACGCTGGCTGTGAACATTTATCCTGGCGAGTGACCCAATCATATGCTTCTTTGAGTACCGCGGTTGAGAGAGTTGTTTCCAGTGGAGCTCCCTGTGGCGCCAAGAAGTTCGGCGAAGGCGTGCCGTAATGATGGTAGGGGAAGCGCATGCGAACTATGCCACTGGGGCCTTTGGTGGAGCTCCCTATCGGGCCGCGAAGCGTGTGACAGGTGTGCCGAAATGGGTCCAGGGGGGACGCATGCGAAAGTCGCCACTGGGGACTTGAGGTGGAGCTCCCAGTGGGGGCACGAAGCGTGTGAGCGATGTGCCGACATGGAAAGGGGAACGCATGCGATCGTCACCACTGGGGCCTTTAGGTGAAGCTCCTTATGGGGCCACGACACGTGCGGGGGCTGTGCCGGAATGGGCGGGGGGGACGGCGAACGTCGCCATTGGGGTCTTATCAGAAGCTCCCTATGAGGCCACGCACTGTGTCAGAGGCGTGCTGCTGGAATGGGCAGGGGGGGGGCGCATGCGAACGTCGCCACTGGAGCCTTAGGTGGAGCTCCCTATGGCGTCACGAAGCATGTGAGGGGTGTGCCGAAATGGGCGAGGGGGGCGCATGCAAGCGTCGCCATTAGGGCTTTACGTGGAGCTCCCTATGGGGCCACGAACCGTTTGAGGGGTGTGCCGAAATCGATGAGGAGGGCGCATCCGAACGTAGCCACTGGGACCTTAGGTGGAGCTCCCTTATGGGGCAACGACACGTGCGGGGTGTGTGCCGCAATGGCCTGGAGGGACGCATGCCAACGTCGCCATTGGGGCCCTCGGTGGAGGTCCCAGTGGGGCACGAAACGGGTGATGGGTGTGCCGCGATCGGCGGGCCGGACGCATGCGAACGTCGCCACTCGGGCCTTAGGTTGAGCTCCCTATGGCGTCACGAAGCGTGTGACGGGTGTGCCGAAATCTGTCTGGGGGGACGCCTGCGAACGGCGCCACTGAGGCCCTAGGTGGAAATCCCTCGTGTGCCGAAATGGGCGGAGGGGACGCATGTGAACGTCGCCACTGGGGCCTTCGATGGAGCCCCCTATGGGCCACGAAACGTTTGGAAAAAAACACATGGCGTCGGACGTTTGGTTTCGCCAGGCCCAAATCGAGCCCCCAGGAGGCTCCAACACCGGGCGGGGCACATCGTTCCAGAGCGTCCCGGAGCGCTTTGAGAAGGCCGCGGTGCCCGATACATTCTGCAGAGCCGTTGGGTCACAGAGATCTCTGGTGTGTCATTGTCCGATGCTGCCCCTGGCCCTGGCCCCACAACCGGAGATCCTGAAGGGTCCGTCCGAGACCTCCTCGCAGCAGCGCCCCCCCCACCCAAACAGGAGCCGTGCGCGAGGCCCGAGGGAGCGGACAGCGACTCGCTGTTCGACTACCTCGCCTTCTACTCCTGCGCGGGGGCGCTCCCGACCCCGCTCAGGGGCGTGCTCCTCCTGGTGCGCAGGGGGGGGCGAGGGAGGAGCGAGGCTGCGCAGAGGTTTTCTCTATCCGGGGAGGCGTCGAAGCCGACCTGGAACTCCAACAAACAGACCCCATCGTACTATCTGCAGTTGGAAAAAGGGAGCCATGAACAGGAAGAGGAGGAGAAAGAGGAGGTGGCGGATGATCAGGATGATGAACAGGAGGAAAAGGATGATGTGGAAGGATAGGGATGATGTGGAAGGAGATCCAGAAAAGCGGCGGCCCATGCTGGGGCGACAGCGCCATTCTGAGCGACGGGATCGAAGCGACGATCCGAACATGATGCCCACGCTTCAGCGAGAGCATCATTTTGGAACATCGGCAATGTTCAGATTGTCATGCAACATGTGGGAAAAAAAACAATCAATTCGTACCAATCCTCTGTGACAGACTAATGCGCGGAGGGGGCCCCGGATCTTCCTGACAGGGCCAGGGGAGAGAGGAGAGTAGTACTCACGTTGTGCAATTGCAAAGACAGAAGAGGAGGAGGAGGACGGAATGATTAGGGGGAGGGCGACGGCAAGGGGGAGGAGGAGAAAAAGGAGGAGAAGGCGTAGGAGGAGGAGGACGACGACGACGAGGAGGAAGACGAAGACGAGGACAAGGAGGGAGGAGCGAGGAGAAAGGAGGGAGCGAGACGCGAGGAGCGAGGAGAGGCGAGCAGGCGCGAGGAGGATGGAGGAGGAGGAGGAGGAGGAGGAGGGCTTCAGCAGGACTTGGCAGTCATGCGGGTGTCCCCGCCCCGTATCTCAGGGATGCCTCATCGCAGCGCTTCTAGCTGATCGTGGGGATCCCAGCTTCTTTTCTTGCACCGACAATGCGGGGTGCCTTCTCGCATGCGCTGCTCGCGATGCCTAGATGATGATGTCACGCTGCAAGCTTCGGCCTCCAAAGCTCTTGGCACCCAGTCTGCTTGTGCCGCCACTGGCTGTCTCGTCGCATCTGGTTGCTCTGGCATTGTAGCTGATGGCGCGTGGCTCCAGATTACATCCCAGAGGTCTCCTTTTCCGTGCGTGCTGGGCCCCGCAGTATAGATTATGACGTTTGGCTTCCGCGTTTGACTCCAGAAGCCGCAGACACGCGCAGTTGCCTGCGGCCACTGCATTCTTTCTCGCACGCGCTCTAATCCCCAGCATGGCTGATGGCGTCAGACTCTAGAACAATTTCCCAAGTCTCTTTGCGCCCAGCCGGGTTGTGTCACCACTGCTTGCCTTTCTCACCCCGGCCTGCCCCAGCGTCGTAGTTGATTGCGTTTGGCTTCAGTTGCGCCCTTCGGCACTCTCTTGCCGCGCACGCGCTGCGCTGGACCCCAAAGTGTATAGCTGTTGCCATATGGTTCTGGTGTCTGATTCTGGAAACCGTTGCGTTGCAACGGTGCATGCGGCCATTGCTCGGCCTCGCACGCTCTATCTCTCGCAGTGTGTTGATAATGACGTTTGGCTCAAGATTTGGCTTATAACTCTCTTTGCACCCCGTCCGCTTGCGCTGCCGCTACCCACCTTTCTCACATCCGATGTCCCACCTGGATAGCTGACATGCCCCCTGAGTGGCCCTCGGAGGCTTCAAGAGTAGACAGGACTGCCCGAACACTTGGACCCCCTCGATGTTCGATGCATCCCCTTCCTTTCAAGGAGAAACACATCCACAATCATCTGCTTTCGGAGGTCCACACGGTGTTTTGGGGTCGGAGCCCGGCGCGCCTTCATGCCGCCTTTGGCGCCGCCCCTGGCGCCGCCCATGGCGCCGCCACTGGCGTCGCCCCTAGCGCTGCCCCTGGCGTCGTTTCTTGCGCGCGTCGCGCGCCAGGGAGGAGGATTCAGCGCCGACCCAAGAGATCCGCGCGGACCTCCCAGAATGTGTGATTGTACCGCTGGTTGTTCCTCTGTCTTCCTCCTCCTCCCCCTCCTCCTCCGCGCGCGCGGCCTGGCTACTGCGCGGCGCCAGCATGGGGTCTGGGCAGTAGCAGCAGCAGTGGCAGCCAGGACGAAAAGACGACGGAGTGGCGCCTCCTCCTCCTCCTCCTCCTCTTCCCCTTCTCCTGCCAGCGGTGTGGTTGTTGCATCTCTGGCGTTCGATTTGATAAGGTTGGCGCAGAGATGTGCGTTCTTTGTTGCTGAGTTTCAGAGAAGTGAGAATTGGAGGTCGTTTGGTAGAGGACTTTCTCCGAGGAGGCTCAGGAGTAACTGTCAATGTTGCAACATTTTGCCTCATCTGATCGGGGTCGTTGGCCGTGGATGCCAAGTCAATTCTTTTCCTCCTCGACGGAGGGTGAGCGGGAAGGTGTGGCTCGTGCTACTCATCAGCCTGTTGGCGAGCACCGCCGACATGTTCTTCGTGCCCCAGCTGGAGGCAATCTCCTCGTCCTCGTCCTCCGCACCCCCTCCTCCGCCCCAATATCATTCTCGGTTTCCCCCTCCTCGTCCTTGGTAGTCCCTAGCCTCGCCGATGGGAATGTGGGCCTGCCGACTTGCCGCCTGTCGCTGAATCCACCTGGTGACGATATGGGGTGTGGTAAGGTCCTGTGGAAGATGTGAGCAACTCTCTGAACATGTGATGTATCGAGACGGTTCTCCCCAACCTCCACCTCTTCGTCCTCCTTCTCCGCTTCCCTCTGATCAGCATCACCACCATCAATGTAAACACCACTATCACCAATCGTCGTCCCCACCCACTGCCATGATTAATGACCATCATCACCATCCTCGCAGTCTGTACCACCATTCTGAGCACCACCACCACAATCACCATCAGCACCACCACCACCACACGCAGCATCCGCACCGTTATCATAATCATCGTCATCGTCATCATCATCATCATCATCATCATCATCATCATCATCATCATCATCATCATCATCATAATCATCATCACCATCATCATCATCATCATCATCATCATCATCGCATTCATCAGCATCGTCATCATATTCATCATTATCGTCATCATCATCGTCATCATCAACATCATCATCGTCATCATCAGCTCTATCTACATATCGCGGAGACCGGGCCCGGGGGGGCTTGGGCCGGAACCCCGACCACACATCGGTGAACCGGGGTCCCCTCGCACATTTTGGGAGCCACAAATCGACGCCGAGGGCGCTTAGACAGCTGTCAAGACGATCCACGGCGGCCTCAAGTCGTCACAAGACGACCTCCAGACGTTTCAGACGGCTCATTCGGCGCCTCCAGCGGCCCAAATTGCCTCCACGACGCCCCGAGAGTGCTCAAGAGTGACCTCCAAGACAGCTGCGAAAGGCCAAAATCATTGATTCTCTTTAGGTTTCTTTACTGTTCTTAGAGTTCTCGCCTTTTCGGGCCTCCGACGGTCCAAGACGGCTCAGGAGGCGCCACAAGTCGCCCAAAGACTGCCCAAAAGGCCTCCAAGGAAGCCCTAAGAAGGCCCAAACTAGCTCCAAGATAGCCCAAGAGAACCCCACAACTGCCCAAGAAAGCTCCAAGACGGCTCGGCAGAGCCCCAAGAGGGCCCCAAGAGAGCTCCAAGAGCACGTCGAGAGGTCCCCAAGAGAGCTCCAAGACGACCAAAGCCCCTTCAGACGGCCCAGAAGAGCCCCAGGACGGCCCAAGAGCGCTTCAAGAAGACCCCCAAGAGGCCCCGAAGAGGTCAAAAACTTGGATGCCTTTTTAGTTGTTGGTGTTATGAAAGGTTTTCGCTTGTCTGGTTCCTGACGCTCCAAGACCGTCCAAGAGGCGCCACAAGCCCGCCCAAGACAGCCCAGGAGGCCCCCAATGAGCTCTAGTACGGCCCAAGAAAGCCCCAGGGAGAGCCCCAAGAGGATCCCAAAAGAGCCCCAGGAAGGTCCCAGGAGGATTCCACGAGAGCCCCAGGCCGACCAAAGCCCCCCAAGACGACCCAGAAGAGCCTAAATTGCCTACAAGGCGCCCCAAGAGTGCTACAGAAGGCCCGGAAAGCCAAACTCATTCATTGTCTTTGCATCATGTTCTTTATGTTGTTTACTACGCTTTTTACGATTCTCGCCTTTTCGGGCTTCCGACGGCCCAAGACGGCTCAGGGGGTTGCCACAAGTTGCCCACACACAGCCTAAGAGGCCTCCAAGGAAGCTCCAAGAAAGCCCAAGCCAGCTCCAAGAGCCAAGACGGCTCGGCAGAGCCCCAAGAGGGCCCCAAGAGAGCTCCAAGAGCACGTCGAGAGGTCCCCAAGAGAGCTCCAAGACGATCAAAGCCCCTTCAGACGGCCCAGAAGGGCCCCAGGACGGCCCAAGAGCGCTTCAAGAAGACCCCCAAGAGGCCCCGAAGAGGTCAAAAACTTGGATGCCTTTTTAGTTGTTGGTGTTATGAAAGGCTTTCGCTTGTCTGGTTCCCGCATCCGTCCTTCCGCCTGAATCCTCGCTCCTCCCTGCTCTCTCTCTTCCTTCGCCGCTCCTCTTTCCCCCCTCTCCTTCTGTGGGAAAGAGTTCCAAGACAATTTTTCCCACCACCTCCACTTTTACATCCACTCCAGCTTTCCCAGGTCCGCGGTGGGGGCACCCGCCGTTCGTCGTCGTTGTCGTTGTCGTCGTCGTCGTCGTCGTCGTCGTCGTCGTCGTCGTCGTCCATTCGGTCGTCGTCGTCGTCGTCGTCGTCGTTGTCGCCGTCGTCGTCGTCGTCGTCGCCGTCGCCGGGCCTTGGGTTGCACCGTTTCGTTGGCGCAGCCGCACTTCGCAGGTTGTCGTCGTGGTCATCACCGTTATCGTCATCGTCGTCGGTCATCGTCGATGATTTGTCAACGCCGTGGTCAGTCGTCGCCGGTCGTCGTCGTGTCGATCGTTGATGTCGGAGGAAGCTCAGGAGGCTTCCCAGGCTCCAGGATTCAGAATGGAAACGCCAGAGCCCTGCAAACAAGTCCAAATCCGGAGCTGCTCGCAACGAAGAAATTTGGCTATCGACTGACGTCGCCCCCTGGCTCCCCCCACGCTGCCCAGATCGTGTTTGAGAACGACAAGAGTCTGTTCGAATCCTTTTCGATGTGACAAGTTTCGCTATCGCAGTGTGAATCCAGATTCCGTGTGAATTGGACAATCGAGACCCAACCCACGCTAGAAAAGACCCACCGGATTGCCATGGCCGAGCCCGACCGACTTCGTCCTACCCCTTTCCTGTCGCCACCGTTTCCTCCGATGTTGCGGGCGATACTAGGGGGGGGGGATGGGACCGAGGTTTGGACAGGACGTGTCCGCTGAGTGCGCGGGAATCTCCTGCTGTCTCCGCGCCCCCTCCCTCTAGCATGGCCCGGAGGCTCGCGGGGAGGGGGGACGGGACCGAGGTTTGGGCAGGATGTGTCCGCTGACCGCGCGGGCGCTTCCTGCTCTCTCCGCACCCCCTCCCCCGCCCCGCGGGCCTCTGGCGGCTGCGCGGCGGAGGGCGGTGCCGGGGCCGATCCGAGGAGTGGCTTGGACGTGGTTCCAGGGATCAGGGAGCAAGGCAGCATTGTTGCGGCGATTCGCAGTCCGAATGTTTTGGCCCGATCCCACGCGCTGCAGGCGTTGCGCGCTGCATGTGCAGCCGCGGGCGCCAGTCCCGAGTCGGGAGAAGCGCCGACAAGTGCGACGGAGTGAGGAGTAGCGCCCAGGAATTGGGAGGATTGCCAAATGCCACAGTCAGGGGGGGGGAGGTGGTCGGTCGTCTTCGTCGTCGTCGCGCACGCGTTCGTCGTCTACGCTTGCGCTCCGGGGATGGGCGCAGGGCTGAGGGCTCAGTGTTCATGGCTCAGGTTTCTGGACCAGGGGTCGAGGGCGTCGGGTTCAGGGCGTAGGGTCGAACGCTTGGGTTGAGCATGGGTCTGAGGGCGGGCGGTTGCGGGCCACGGCCCAGGATGCTGATTTGTTCTGGGTCCTGGGCCCATCAGAGCGTCTGCGCTTGCCCCCTCGAATTCTTGGTTTGTCCCTCGCGATGTTATCGGCATTCCAATCGATGTTTGAGGTTCCTCCCGATTTGTCCTTTCAGATGTTCTGCGGTTGTCTTCGCGGAATGTTCCAACCTAACAGGCCCCCCCATGAGACATCCAAGAAGGCGGGCGAGGAGTAGGGCATGAGGAACGGAATGGAGGAATAGGAAGATGACGAGGAGGAGGAGACCAGGGGGAGGAAAAGGACAAGGAGGATCGGAATGTCCAACGAGGAAGAATGTTCGGGGGAGGTGGCTCCTGCCTCCTCCCTCCATCCTCCATTCTCCTTCTCTCCTCCGCCCTCTTCCCCGCTCCGTCCTTTTCCGCCCCATTCGCCCCGTCCCTCCTTTGCCCTTTCTTCCTTCCCCTCCCGTTCCCGCCTCCTGACCCGTCGCCCCACTGCCGCTTCCTAAGTTCGAAAGTGGGCCAGCTGTGGGAACAGAACCAAGAACAAAACATGCATTCCCACGCGTCCAGTTGTTTCGAGTTCAGCGCCTCCCTCTAACAAGGGAGAGCGAAAAGGCAGCAAGACATCAAGCGCAGTAGACTGCCCCGATAATGGTGGAGGCAGCGATGAACTGGACAGGTGCCCAAGACGGACCCCCTGGGAGGGAAGATTCTATAGGCTCACGCCACATCTGCCGACCCCTATATAAACTACTGCGCCTCCAGGACTGCAGTTCACGAGGCTTGTCCGAATCATGATACGGCGCTCGACATCGTTCCTGTTGCTTCGTTGCTGGGGGGGGGGATGAATCTCACACGCCCAGAGACCCACAAGGGGTCGGCAAGACGGACCCCCCTGGAGGGAAGATCAGACTTGACACTTCCTGCTCTCCGCCTCCACTGGGCACCCCGAGGGCGCGGCCCCCAAGACGCCCCCATGGGCCTTGGCCGCGGGGGGGGGGGGGACCTGGACCGACACTGCCAATCGGTTGCCGTCTTCCCTCCCAGGGCGCCCCAAGAAGCGAAGGCATCACTCCTGCTCCAGCGACGGCCCCAAGGGACGTCAGCTTGGCCCCGGATGCTGGCGCAGGACACAGCCCAAGATGGTGCCAGACAGCTGCCGGGAGGCCCATGAGGACCGCCCCGAGGCGGCCCGAGAGGCCCCCCGACAGCCAGAGAGCGCCCCGAGACGACCCAATACGGTCCCAAGACGGTCCTAAGACGGTCCCCAAGGAACGGGAAACTCGAGCTGACGCATCGCGCCCCCCCGCCCCAGGGCTGTTCCCGAGAGTGCCTGGGAGGCCGCTCCCCCCCAGGAGGCCCTCGAACGATCCCTGGGGCCCCCCCGAGCGACCCAACGCATGCCCCGGGAGGCCCCAGCCTCATCCCTCCCTCCCCCTCCTTCTCCTCCTCCTTTCCCTCCTCCTCCTCCTCCTCCTCCTCCTCCTCCTCCTCCTCCTCCCCCTCCTCCCCCTCCTCCTCCTCCTCCTCCTCCGAGAGGCCCGAAGGGAAGAGGAGGCCGCAGACGCAGGAGCCCTCCCCAGCGGGAAATGGGCACGCAGTGCTTGCCACGTGTGTTATCCCTCCTGTCTTCCCTGGTGCTGTTTCCCCCATCTCTTAGCTTCCATCTGCTCCCCGGTTCCCCGTGCCTTCCTTCCCCTGTCCGCGATGCTCCTCCCCTTTTTTGCCCTCCCCCTCCTTGAAGCTACCCCCTCCGCATCCCCCCTATCATACCCTTTTTCCCCGCAACCTCTTCGGGGGATATTCTGCTCTGTGCATCCCTCTCTCTCCTTCTCTCTTTTTCTCTCTCTCTCTCTCTCTCTCTCTCTCTCCCTCTCGCTGTTGCTTTCTTACTTCTCTGTCGTTCTTTATTTCTCCATTAATTATTTCTCTCTCGCTCTCTCTCTCTCTCTCGATTTCTCTCTTGCGTCGCTCTACCTCTTGGACCGCTCTTCTGCCCACGTGGACCTGGCTTGGGTACAGGATTGCCCGATTGGGTTTTTTGTTGGACCCCTTTTCGCAATCGTTTGGGGAACATCCTGGTACGATTTGGGGTTGGGATTGCACAAACAAGCTGAGTGTCACAAAGGGATATAAACAGCATATCAGGACGAGGCAGGTAAACACATGAAAAGCAAGAGGCGAAACATAACGTGAAGGATGACTGGAGGCGAATGAGGGGAAGGGGAGGAATCATACTGGCCTATCGCGGCAAGCGTCGTCAAATGGTCTAGAATTCGAGCGCGCGCGAAGCGCGCGTGTGATGGTTCTTGTATTCATAATTAACTGATTCAGTACCTTCAGCTTCAGCAGCGGAATCATCATCCCCGCGACACGATAAGCATGCATATTACATGCTGTTAGGGGGAGAGGGATGGAAGTCTCAGGAGGCCCATGCTTGGCGTGCCTGTCGAGGTCATCCCGGCAAAATGCAACCAGCAACGCTTAGCGTGTTTTCATTTGGTTCGTCGCATCGCTTGGGCACGTTATGTGTTGTTCCCTGATTGTAAGTCCCCACGTCGTCCTCATCGTACTCGTGCTTCTGCTCCTCATCGCCCTCCCCTCTCGGCGAGGGTAAGTATCCTCCTGCCCCTCTTCATCTCATATTCCTCCTCCTGTTCCTCCTCCTCCTCCTCCTCCTCCTCCTCCTCCTCCTCCTCCTCCCCTCGAGCATGGGCCCGCAGCCGTGTCCTGGGGTGCGTTTGGACCAGAACTTCAGAGCGAATCAAGACGTAGCCGCGATAGTGCCTCAGAACATCCCAGAACCCACAAGATCAGAAAAAAACATCAAAACCCAGATCCTGGACCCCCCTCTCCTCAATTCACCTTTTCCTCCTCCCTGTCCCCTTATCCTCCTCCTTCTTCCTCCCCCCTCATCCTCGTCCCCGCCCTTCTCTTAGGCCATGTGCCAAAGACTGGGACTGCCAGACGACGTGGCCGGCGTGACATTGTTGGCCCTCGGCAACGGCATGCCGGACGTGATGACGGCCACGAGCTCGATAAACAACGCGTCGGACTCGAGGGGGAGAGGGAGGATCGAATAACAGAAATTGTGCAAACATAATTTCTCTGAGGTCCGCGTGGATTTCTTGGACCGGCGCTGGGCCCCCTTGGCGTCGCCTCCGGCGCCGCCGCTGGCGCGCTCCGCTCGCGTGGGCAGGGGTGTTCAGCGCCGATCCAAGAAATCCGCGCAGAACTCCGAGAAACTATCTTACTATCTTGATCCCGTTTTTTGGACGCTCTAGAGGAAGAGAAGGGACGAGGAGAGGATGTACGAGGTTCTATATTTTGACAGCTGTTCGCTCCTCTGGGTTCTGAGGCTCTCTCGTGGGTACGGCGTGGTGCGTTTTGTAACAAAGGGCGACGCACCCCATGACAAGGACGCGCCGACGCTTAAGGAGAGAAAAGGGGCGAAGGAGTAGGAGGAGGTGGAGGAGGATAATTGTAGTGTATTGCTGATTCCATTGAGGAGGGGATGAGGAGGGGGGGGCAGAGAGAGGAGGAGGAGGAGGAGGAGGAGGAGGAGGAGGAGGAGGAATAAGAGCGTGAGGCAGACGAGGACGAGGAAGAGGAAGGAGAAGAGGAAGAGCATGAGGGCAAGGAACAATAGGGGAGGCGAAAGAAAGAGCACCAGGGAGGGGAGGATGAGGACTGAGGAGCCTGAGGGAGAAGGAGCTGGCGGAGGAGCAGGAGGAGTGGAGGAGGACGAACAGCATGTGGGAGAAGAAGAGGAGGCGGCGGAGGAAGAGTGGAAGGAGGTGGGGATGAGGGCGCACCGACCGGGTCGCGGGGAAGCGGCGATCGCTGCATGCTGGGCACCCCCTACTGAGGACAAAGGTCTCGGTTGGGTTTGCGTGGAACTTTCCGATGCACTGGAAAGCGGAGACGGCTGTACGCCTGGCGGCATCCAGAGGGAGGCGTGGTCTCCCGTGGGTCTGCGCGGAACACTGCGCGGATAGGCCTTGCAGGGGCGAGGGAAAGCGGCGAGCGATATGCACGCCCGGCAGCACAGGACGCCGCCTATGTCGGGCTCGCGCAGGGCGCCGCTCCGTTGGGCCATCAAAGGGCGGCAGGACAGCGGCGACGGCTGCACGCTCGGCTGCACCACCTGGCTGGGCGAGGTCTAGCCGGGGTCTGCGTAGCACGCCACTTCGCTGGACCCCTGGCTGCACTCGCAGCACGGTTGCCAGCGCCTGGCGGGGCGAGATTTGTGGAGGACGATCAATGGAGAGGAAGCATGTTGCCAAATACTTTCCAGATGTCTAAAAGGTGTTTCAAGCATGAGCTATATATACATGGAAAGAGATATACTTGAAACATTTGGATGAACATGTTTTACACATTTTTATTTCAATGTTTGGACTGTTGGAGTGTCCGCTGTCATGGCATCTACAAGGCTTGATCACCTTCAGGCCTGCGTGAGATCTCCGCCAGGACCCCGAGCGGTGCAGGAAGCAGGGCGGTTTTTGCACGCCTGGCGGCGCCCACGGGAGCGAGGTCCCGCCTGGGTCTGCGCAGGACGCCACCCCGCTGGAGCCCCAAAGGGCACAGGGAGAGTGCCGACGTTTCTGCGCGCGGTAGGGCGCAGCGGAGCGTGGTCTCGGTCGGATCTGCGCAAGGCGACAGTCCGCTGGACATCCAGAGGCGCAGGAAAACGGAGATCTTCGCAGGCCCAGCCGCACCCGACGGAGCGAGGTCTTGCTTCGTTCTGCGTCGGACGCCACTCCACGGGATCCCCCAATGGGGGCGTGGGAACGTACCGAATTTTGCACGTCCAGCGACATCCAGCGGAGCGAGGTCGCGCGTGGACCTGCTCAGGCTCCACTCCGATGGGCCTCTATTGGGCGCAGGGAAGTGACGACCTTTGCGCGCTCGGCCGCACGCCGGGCATCACCCGAGGAAGGGAGTACACGGCCCGAGGAGAAACCGAAATGATAAAGCAATCACACGGGGCTCGAAGACTGGAAAACCATAGAGACGACAGCGTGGTAGGAGGAAGCGGGTGATTGACAAAAGCAGAACATCAAGCTCTACCGGGGGCGCCGCCAGGGGGGGGCAAAAATTCAAAACTGGAGCGGTTGCCTCTTGCAAGCCGCCTGGGGAATCTCGGGGCCATCTTGGACAGCCCCTGGCCCGCCGACCGCACTTCGGCCGCCCGCGGGTTGGATCTCCCGGCCGGCAGGAGGGAAGAAGGGGAGGGAGGACGAGGAAAAACGTACCGAACAGGCACGGTCCAGGAGGAAAGGGGGGTGTGAGAGGCAGGGGCAGCAAGCACGCACGAAGGGGCGGACGGGGGGACGGGGGGGGGCAATCGTCAGCTGCTCGTGGTCGGCGGCTGGGGGCGGGCGGGGGCAGCGGCGTGGGCGGGGGCGGAGGCGGGAGGGGGCAACGGCGTGGGCGGGGATGGAGGCCGGGGGCGGCGGGCGTGGTCGTCGTCGTCGGCGGCCGTTGGGGGCGGCCGGCGAGCGGCTGTCGGACCAGTGGCCGGCGCTGCGCGCCCGCGCGGTCAGCGTGCGTCAAGGCCCAGGGGCGGCTCGGGGAAAGGCGGCCGCGCTTGCGCTGCGGCGGCGAGCGCTTCTCACCGCTCACGCGGCGTCAGCCGTCGACGCCGCGGTCATGGCCGCCAGGCGCGCCGGCGTCGCGCCCGGTCACGACCCGAGACGACGCAGCACTGCCCGCGCGTTTTCTCCCTGTGCAGGGAGATGGAGTGTCGCTGGGCAAGCGGCGCCGCCGCGAGTGCGGCATCCTCTCCTGGAGAGTCGGCGAGCCATTCGGCCCGCCCCCATCCGCCGCCGCGCGCCTCGCATACAATTGGTCCGAAAAGGAGGCCCACCTCGGAGCAGCGGCGCTGGGTGTCCTGGTGGGAGCGCTTGCGCTGCTCGTAGCGGTCCGCCTCCGCGCTCGCCGCCTCGGCCGAAGCCGCCAGCACGTCCGCGCGGAGCCCGCTGGTGACGGCAAAGTCCAGGGCCGCGGGCATGCCATTGCGGACGAAAACGTCCGCGGGGCGCCGACCGTCGCCGTCCAAGTAGCCCCCGTTCTCCTCGCCGCCGGTGGGGCCTTCGCCGGGGGCGCGAGGCGACAGGAGGCCGGGGCGCTCGAGCTCGGCGCCCGCGTAGCTGGCAGCCAGCGCGTCGTTCCAGGCTCTGTCGCGGAGGCGGTTGTGGCATGTGGCGCGGTCGCCGCGGCAGCGGCGCGCGAGATCGTTATCGGCGAACGCATCCATCACCTCGCCGCACGCCGGGCAAATGTCCTCCTCGTCGAGAAGCTGGTGCCTCAGGCGTCTCTGCAGCGCTAGTTGCATCAGACCGTGAGACACGTCGGTGCCGATCGCTGGGCGGGGCGGGGCCATGGGCCAGGGGCCAGTCGCTGGCGCCCAGGGCAGCGACCAGGTTGAGCTGGGCCCGCGTGGCCAGAGCGACGAGGAGCGCTGCCAGAGCTCGTCGCTGGTGGCGTCGTCCACCTCCTCGGAGAGGCGCTTCTGGTTGGCGCGCTGGGCGGGGTCGAGCTCGATCCTGTCGGTCGACAGGACCGTGGTGTTGAAGGCCTGGGCGACCTCGGCCAGGCTGCCCCCGTTTTCGCCGACGGTGTCGTCGTAAGCCGAGTAGAGCTGCCGGCAGCGCCGCGCGCCCATGGCCCGCGACGCCAGGCGCGCCGCCGCCGCGCGCCTCTCCGCAGGACGCAGCGAGGAGCCGCTGACCTGCTCCAGGCAAGCTCGGACAGCCGCGCCCATCGCCAGCAGGGCCGCCGCGCGCGCCGCGGGCAGGGCCGCGCGCGCCGAGTATCCCAGTTGGCAGCGGGAGGCGCATTGGCGGGGCAGGTGCAGGGCCGCCCGCCCATTCTCCAGCGCGCCCAGGGCGCTCGGCAGCTCGGCGGCCTCTGCAACCCGCTGCTGCGCGTGCTGCGCGCAGGAATCGTCTCCGCCCGCGGGTGCGCCCAGGAGCTCGCGGCTGTCTGTTCGTAGCCGGAACCCGCGGGGGAACGAGGCCGCACCCGCGTCGCAGTCTCGGCGCGCCCCCTGCGAGACAGCCGTCGCCCAGCGAGAAAAACGCCAGGTCCGAGCAGCCCTCGGCGGCGGCGGCGGCAGGGGCGACGTCGCGCCCGCCCCGCGCGCTCTCTGCGCAACGTTGTAGGGCGAGGGCGAAAAACAAGGGCCCAAGGGGGTCGCCTTGCTGCCCCGCTCCCAGGGCGCAGCGCCCTCTTGCCCAGGAAAAGCTGCGCTGGGTTGCTGTGGCGCCAGCATTGGAAAAAGGGGCCAACCCAGGGAAGTCTTCGTGCACAGCCCGCAGAACAGCTTGCCTGTCCAGCGTGTTGAAGGCGTTCGAAATGTCCAACTTGACGAGCATTTTCCGCCGGTTACCCCGATTGCGAGCCCACCGCTGGCGCGCGACGTGGGCGGCCGCCTCTGCGCCGCCAGGCACCGCCGCCCCGAGCTGCAAGGGCGCCAGCATGTCCCGCGCGGCGGCGGCGACCTCGCGGCAAAGACGCTTGCCTGCCAGGCGGCGCAACACTTCGCCGACGGCGGCCGGTCGTAACCCGCCGTCTTTTTTCGGGGGGCGCGAGGGGGGCGCAGGCGAAAAAACCCGCCGTTGCGAGGGGGTCTGGCCCCAGGCGAGCAAGTATGTCAGGTTGGCAAGTTGCTCCGCGACTTCGTCTCTGCGCGCTGGCGGCTGCAAAGCGCCCTTCAGGTGCTGCGGCCGCGGGCGAGCGGGCCTGGCCGCAGACCCCCGGGGCAGGGCGCGCACCCCCCGCTCCACTGAGGCCGCGCCCACCCGCAGCGCGGCAACCACGTGGGCAGGAGGGGGGCCAGTCACGTCGACTGCCCGTTCGCATCTGGTCGACGACAGCCGGCGTTGCGTCGACCGGCGGCTCGCTGGCCAAAGCCGCGCAATTCTTCGAGCACTGCGCGTCGGCAGCCAGCCGGAGGCACCGCTGCTGTTTCTGCGCGGCTCGCGACGTCGGCTTCGCGCCGCGCTGCTCCGCTGTCTCGGCCCAGAGCGAAGCCTGTTCGCTCTAGACCCACCGCGCGAGCAGAGCTCTCGTCTCGGCCGCGAATGCGTTCCGACTGCCGCGGCCGCCGCGGGCGCGCGGTCGGAGAACGCACTTGGGAGCACGGCCAGCTGCGCCCGGGCGGCCTCGTCGTTGGCGCGCGCGGCGATCGCCGCAGCTTGGGCCGAGCATCTCGCCCACAAGGCCCGGGCGCCTATGGGCGCATGCCGCCGGGCGTCTGCGCTCCTGGCAAAGACCTCCCGCAGGGGCGGGCGTCCTGGAGGTCGCGGCGCGCCGTCGTCGGCGTCAGGGGCGGCCTCGGCGGCCGCCGCGCGGGCGGCGGGGCGGTAGCGGGGGCGGATGCCGGTGAAGCGCGCGGCCGGGAAACGTTGGCACGCGGAGCACTGGCCAAGGCGATGCTCGGCCAAGTAGGCCTGGGGCACCGGAGGGGGGCCGGGCAGCGTGTTCTTTGAGGCCATTGGTCCTAAACATACACTTACCAAGGGTCGGCCCGGGCGAAGAGGGCCGCGCGCCGGATAGGGCGCTTGCCGCTGCGCCCGATCAGCTTGCCGCGCGCGCTGTTTCAACGTCCGCGCGTCAGGGCGCAACGACGCGCTGAACGGTTGGTTGTAGCGACGCGCCCTATCTTGCGTCGGGGACGTCTTGGGGCATCGGGGGTGTCCGCGGGGTTCAGAACCGCATTGGAGTGGTGGTGCCTGTCCCACTTGGAGACAGGCACCACAACTCCGTTGCGTTTGGGCCTGCCCGCAAGAGGTCGTTGCAATCTCGCGCTCCCTCGGGGGCCGCTGCGGCCGCTTTCGGGAGCGCTCTCGGGGGCCGCGCGTGCGCCCGATAGCGATTTCTACCGAACGCCACCTCGACTAGGTACGGGTACGTGTCCGGGGGCACCATCAACGTGCGTCGGCAACTGCGCCCCCCGACACGTACCCAGACCTAGCCGGGGTGACGCCAGGCGGGTTTTCCAGGGAGCAGCCCCTGGCGACCGCGCCTGGCGTTTGGGGCCCCAGGCGTTTGGGGCGAGCGCGGGATTGCAGCGGCGCCCGCCCAGGACACCCAGGACGCAGTTTGCGCGTCGAGCCCCAAACGATTGATTGTGCGCATTCGTGGGCGCACCTCCGAGCGAGCTGCTCTAGTCCGAGATCGACCAATGCGTGGTCGGCCACTCTGCCGATTGGAACGCGCGCGCTTTCGGTGTCAGCGGACGCCCGGAGACGACAACGTCCTGTACTGTTCCATGAGCAATCGCATCTGCTTTTGTGCAGCTGCCGTCGGCTGCGGCGCGTCGCTCCCCCCGCCCCTTGCCACCCCGCCTGGGTAAGGATACGGGTATCTTCCGCGCTCGAGGTGCGACCGCGTAGACTGGTGGTCGGCCCATTCTGCGGCGGCTGCCGGGTCTGCGGAAGAGAGGTGTAGGGCGAACGGACGATGCGGCAGAGATGAAGTGTGAAAAGGCAGGAGGCAGGCGTGGGAGCCGCAGCAGTGTCTCCATTTTTGAGGCTTCGCGCATCCCCGCCAGACCGTCCAGAAACGATCCCCATGCGAGTTGCAGTGAGCATTCACATCGAATTAAGAACACGCACCGAAACAGAGAGGGGAGGCAGGCGTCGAACTGAGGCTCGGGATGAGACTGGTCAGACCCAAGGGTCAACCACGAAGGCCTTCGCGATTCGTTCGGTCGGGAAACCTCTTCGGAGCCTTCTTGAGGCCACCTAGGAGCTCTCTCGGGGACATTCGACAATGAGTCAGGACTCTTTGGGGGCCCTCTGGGGAGCTCAGGGGGCCATCTCGGGGGACATCGATTGGAGAGGGGTGGTCCCCATTAGGGTTGCTGTGCTCGACTAACTCACACCTTGAAGTTCTCTTCGAACAGTCCTCGGCGCTTTGGGAGCGGTCTTGGGGCATGCTGGAGGCCATCTTCAAGGCCGCTAGAAGGCGTACACCCAAGAAAGACAGTAAAATGAGGACCACTTCGGGCGCTTGAGGAGCTCTGGCTTTCGGATCGTTCCTTGGTTTGATGTCGAGGAACCGATTCGTGGCCAAGGCTCGCCGTGGCCAGAAAAACCCACGATGAACGTGTGGGGCCGTCTTCAAGCCAGCTGTACCCCAAAATCCCCCCAAGGAAGCACTCCCGTGGCCACTGTGGCGCAAGCTGCTTTACGGCGCCTGCGCGCGCACAGCAGCTGCGCTGCCCAGGCCGCGCGGCCCCACCCGCCGTCCGGGCTGCCAGGGACAATGCCGCTGGCGCTGGCGGACACGTCGTCCGACGTGCCGATGTCCTCCAGGGCCAGGCATCAGCATGGTTGAACCGATCCATGTCTTCAGATCTGGTTGCTGCGATTTTTCCATGGCGTTTTCACCCCATTCTGGGCCGTGGGACCCTCACAGATCGATCCGGTTCGAAAATGATGCAGAATGATGGGGTCCAGGGCTCCGGTCGTGATTTATGCGATGTTGCTTTTTTTCGCAACCTCGGATCTCAGGTTATTCCCACGGGGCCATGGTATCCCAGCGGCACCAGCCCCCCTCCCCAGGTGGGGATAGGCTTTGCAAAACCTGGAGGGAACAGCACAGGCCATAGTTTCCTAAACGGGTGTTGATCGGCTAAACGATGCTCAAGGAAGTTCAAGAACACCATGACCTCCACGGGCGGCCGCGACGACCTCCTGGGTACCGTGGAGCGGCACATGGAGGTGCTGTCCTCGAAAAACGACAGCTCCGAGGTGGAGGACGTGCGGCGCATCCTGAAGGAGGTCAGGGCGCAGTACGACCACGTGCACCTGGAGGCGGAGAGGCGCGAGAAGGAGCTCCTCCAGCTGAAGGAGGCCATCAAGGTGGCGGACATGGGGCAAGGCGACGGGGCCCTGGGCTCCTCGAGTAAGGAGGACCGACGGATCGCGCTCGACAAGGAGATAGAGGACCGCCATGCAAACGAATTGGCCCCGAGGAGAGCGAGCACATGCTTAATCAAGAGTTATATATATATATAGAGAGAGAGGGAGAGCATACAGTCATAGATAGAAGCATCAGAGCACCCCCCCCGGGTCCCCCCCCCAGCACCCATTCTTGACAGCATTCAATTTCGACGGCGGTGTTTTTCCTCTTCTATTGCTCCTCCTTCCAGTTGTTCTCGCTCTCTTGTTTTGTCGTTCTCTCTCTCTCTCTCTCTCTCTCTCTCTCTATATATATATATATATATATCTCTTTCTCTCTCCCACTCTCTCTCTCTCTCTCTCTATATATATATATATGTTTAGCGTTGTTGTGTTTCTCTCTCTCTCTCTCTCACTCTCTCTCTGTAAATATACGTATACATATATAGATATACTGTGAAACGACGTTGAAGCACCGTCGCCTTCATTTATCGCTCAAATCTATGTGGCAGCGCGACTTCGATGTAGCGGCAAACGGACTTCTAGCATATCTCGGCCGCTACCCTCCACAGTCCGCCTGTCCTGCGATAACACAGTGTCCTGTGCACTTCTTCTCGTGCGGTGTGATCCTGGCGTGTCCGGCGTTCCCAGCGTGTGTGGCGCCGGCGAGGACATCGGGGTCAGAGACAGTTCGAGCTGGGACGTGCCCAGACGCGACTTGTCGTTGTGGTAGTTTTGATCGCCGTGGTGGTGCGTCTTACTGTGCAGGCCGTGGTGCAGGTGGTACGCTCCGTCGCCGGAGGCGGAAGCAACGTGCCACGTCCAGCGCTTGAGGAGGGCAGCCCTTCCTCGGCGGCGCGGCTTTTGACGGGGCCGTCGGCGCCAAGCAGCAGGCATGGCACGCGCGTTTGACTGCAGGTGCACTCAGGCTCTGGTCAAGTATCCAGGGGACGCCGGAGGCTTCGGCTGGCACAATAGGGTGCCATTCCATCGGGTCGAGGGGTTTCGGTGGATGTGTCTGACGCCGGACTTCGATTTGTTGCTGATTTATGTTTCGGTGGCGCGGCATCGTGTTTTCGGTCGCCACCAGCCTTTCCCCGCTGACATTGCGAGAGACTGCCACATCTTCGACGAGCTTGCGAACTACCAGCGGGACTCCCGCCATAGGGCGCACATCCTCGTCGCCGACGTGGTCGATGCGGACGACGACCGCGTCTGGGTGGTGAGCCTGCCGACCGACGCGCGCTTCGGGGAGATCGTTGACCAAGGTTTGGTGGCGGACGAGGATAACGTGGCGACTCTCGACGGCAAGGGTGCTGTCCGCTTGGACGGAGAAGAGCGCTCTGTCACCCTTGTCTCGAGGGGCAAGGTGGGCGGTTTCAGGCGTGAGGCGGCTCTCGGAGCACATGACCGTCCAGTGCTGGACCGTGCCCGAGTGAATGGGCAAGTGGGTTCGTCGCCAATCGATGGGATCTTGGAGATGCGGGTCGCTGTCGACGCCACGCAGCCCGAGAAAGAGCAGAAACTGATGGCGGTTCGACGGGCCGAGGGCGGCGTCGGAGTTCTGTGAGCAGGTGAGAGATGGAGCTAGGATCTTCACTTCGTATCATTCGACATGAATCCGTTAGGGTGGTCTGCACGAGGGAAGTTCACCCGCTCATGAGCATAGGTATTTGTGTGATCTGCTGTGAATGGGGATGACGACGGACCAGCTCGACGTGGCAAACATGGCTTGCACGGAGCACGCGACCCAGCGCTCGGTGAGCTTGGAGTTCACGGTGGAGCGGAACCCTTCGATATTCAGGTCACAGTGGTCTAGATACGGTCGAGGGAGGCGCGACGACGGCGAAGGGAGCTGCTCGCATGGCGGGCCTCACAGAGCACATCTCCAAGAGACAGAAGCAGCGGGCCGACATCTCGAAGCAGGAGCGTCTCTATCGTGGGAAGACCAACGAGCGGAGGACCGACGACGATCGCGGCCGAGGTCGCGGCAGAGGTCGCGGCCGAGGTCGCGGAGGCAAAGGTGGGGATGATGAGCGCCCCCAGGGTAGACGGACTATAAGTGGGCATCGCTGCGCCTCGGTGCTGTGCGGGGCCTGGGCATGTAGCTCGGTGGGCCAGGCGTTGAAGTGCTTCGCCTTCTTCCAAGAGCTTGGCGTCGGTGGCGATGGCTCCGGGCGGTCGCGCGCCCAGGGGGGGCAAGCACGGAGGCCCGATTCCGCTTCTTGAGCCCACGGCTTTGACGCCTTTTGGAGTTGAGCGGCAGGGGCGAATTTTGGAGGCGATTCGAGCGCTGACCTACCTCGCCGCGCGTGCTGGCGATCTGAAGAGGGCACCCGCCCGCGCCGGCTTCGCTGGCAAAGCTCGCCGAGACAGTCTCGGCGCCGTCGAGGTAGCGACGGGCAAGTGTGGCGACGAGCCGAAGGGCCTGAACGGGGGTTCGTCGCTGCGGCAGCTGCTCAAGACCAGGTCGCTCGACGGGGCGCCGCCGCGGCACATGGCGAGCTGCCCCCTCGACATGCTGAGGGCCCTGAAGGGCGATGCGCAGCCCGAGGGCGCAGCGGAGACGCTGCCGCCCGCGGCGGCCGGGGTTTTAAGCATAGTGAGAGGCGCGTCGAGCGGGGCGCGGGGGGCATCGAGAGTTTGCGCGCCGAGGGCGAGCTGAGCGCGCCGCGCCGGGGCCCCGCTCTAGGTTGAGATGCCCGGGCGCGAGCCCATCTTCTTAGGGCGCACTATCGCGCGCGACCCTGTTCGTTGAGGAGAGAGGTCGAAGCCTGAGTGGGGCTATTTGTCGCTCGCGAGAAGGGCGGCAACATTCCCCAAGCAGCGCTTGCACTGGACGGGCCCTGGCGGACATTGAAAGATTTGGCGACGGTGCCCCGCCGACGTGGTTGGCCGGCTGGCTTCCCGGGTTCCTGTTTCCGGACTCGTCTGTTTTTGGTCGTTGGTTCCGGGCCGATGTCGGTGGCGCCATTTTTCTGGGCCCCCGGTCGATTTCTAAAATCAATCTCTGCGTCGGCCCCGCGATTCAAATTCGATATAATGACCGACTTCACTATGGATCTCGCACAATCGATCTCGCCATCTCTCATCCAACCATCCACTGATTGGGGCTTCCCTCTGGTGTAATTGGATTCATATGCGACTCGAGGATTCCCATCGCCCTTCGCCGCAGGCCGCCGAAAGCCAAGCTGGGCGGCATCGACGCCCTCGCCGACGTCGGCCTTGCGCGCGCTCACGACGGCGAGACAGACATCGGGGGCCTGGGCCTCGACGAGGCACGTTCGACGTGAAGGGCGCCTTCTCCTAGTGCTCGGCGAAGGAGGTGGCCTGCCGGTTCGGGTTCGGGCGCGAGATCAGGGCCAAATACTGGGGCGCGAAGAAGGTTCGGGACGACGACCCGGAGCAGTCTGGCGCTGTCGACCCCGAGGAGGAGCTCGAGGCGGTCTTCGAGGCGACGTGCTCGGGCTGGACTTGGGCCCTCTACCTCTGCAGCGAGGGGGCGTGGAGCTGCGTCGCGGAGGCGAGGGCGTCGGCGACGAGGGGCCGGGCCCCTTTGCCACCCGACTGGGGCCCTCGAGGCCTGGGTGGCGCTTGCGTGGACAACGCGACTGCGGTCGCGGCCAAGCCTCAGGGGCCCTCGGCATGCCTGACGGCGCTGCAGGGCGTCGCGGGGTCGAAAGGCCCTTCGTTGCACCCGCCCGAGGTCGGGGAGGTAGTTGGGCCGCTCGGGCTCGTCCTGGACTTGGAGGAGCGGGGGCCCAGGCGCACCCTCGAGAGGTTCTGGCGCTTCTGGGCCGCTGCCCAGGCGCTGCGTCGCCGACGCTTCGCGCGCAGCGGCGATCTGGAGGTCTGGCTCGGCCGCGCGGTCAACGCGATGAGGTCGCGGCGGCCCTTGATGTCAATTCCCTTGGGGGTGCTCCACCGCCTCAACGTTCGGCGCGAGCGACGCGTTCAGATCGCCGACGGCCTCAAGCGAGAAATGCGGGCCATGTAGAGCCTGGTTTTCCTTGCCCACGCGCGCCTGGACACGCCTGCGTCCAACGTGGCGCGCGTCTCCGACGGCGCGACGAAGTGGCGCGGGCAGCTGCGCACTGCGGCGCCGACGCCCGCCATTCGCGAGGAGGTCAGGCACCGTGAGAGGCGACTATGTCATGGGGGCCGAGCCCGAGCCCGAGCGCCTGTTCGTCAGCGCAGGCGTCGCGCGAGATTACGTCTGGGGCAGGGCCGAGGACGACGACCGCCGGGGCGACGACGAGCAGGTGTTCGGCGACCCAGAGGTGCGGGGCCAGTCAGTTGGGCCGCTCGCCAACGCTGACACTGCCCACGCCCGCTGGGCTCGAGAGGCGGCGAGCGCGGGCAAGGCGCCTCGTCGCCGCTGGGCGCGCCGGCGGAAAGGCGTGGAGGCGGCGCCTGCAGCAGCCCCGCTGGCCTCTAAGTGCTGGGCGGATCGATCGACCTGGACAACTTTAGCTGCGCGTGGGCTGAAGCGCACCAACGCGACGGAGGCGCGCGTCGCCCTGGGCGGCGCGCGCCGGCGCGCTCGGAGCCGACGCCTACGTGGACGTCGGGGGCCCCGCCTCGTGGACAACACGGCGACGCGCTGCTGCTTCGACAAGGGCCGGGGGCGATCCTGGGCCACGAGCGCGGCGCGCCGACGGCTGCGCGCCCGCCGGCCTGCCGGCGGCGGACCTGCGACCGAAGTGGAGGCGCGTCGACAGAGAGCACTGACAGCCGACGGGGGCTCCCGCGGGCGGCCGGCGCCAGTGGTTGCGCCGCCCGAGATGGCCGAGGACCCTGTCTCAGCGCCTTTCTTGCCGATGGGGCGTTTGATGCCGGTGGCGGCTGTCGACCTGCTTGGGCGCGTCGTTCAGACCAGGTGTTCCTGGAGCTGTTTGCCGCGCAGGCCCGCTTTTGGAGTTGCTGCTTGGGGCCGAGTTTGACCCGAGCAGTAAAACAATGCAAAGGTCCGTCTGGCGAATGATCAGAGGAAAGGTTCGACGCATTCACGCGGGGGCCCCGCGCAGTATTTTGTCTAGTTATTGCTAG